CAGGGACAGACCTTTAGGGTTTAGGGGCTTAGGGTTTAGGGTGACATTGAAGCATTGAAGCCGGAGTAATCAGACTCGGGGCTTTGTTGTAAGGAACCTAGAGGAACACCGGTTAATTACTACTGTACTGATTCACTTTCCTATCGGTCTTATCCTATGTTTATCGTATATGCCGAACCTTATAAAGCACTGACACGACCCTCCGAGAACATATCAAACCGAATTACCAAGAAGATGCCTCCCTCAAGCAGGGCGCAATAGAGGCCTACGTAGCCCAAGCAATTCGACTAGGAGTCAATCCCGAGGAGCCAGTGTTACTACACATTCATGCGCCTAGAGTTCCTATGAAACCACCTTAACATCCCTATGAAAACCTTGCAATTAAAACTTTGCATAGTGCTAAACACGAAACTCTCATGTAGGGGCCTGAAAAATTCGAATAGGGTTTCGGGGGGACTATTACTATCATTACAGTATTATATATCCAGAACCCTATTCTATATTATCAAGGCCTCTATATTCAAGCCACTAAACCCTAAACCCTAAACCCAAACTCTCAAACCCTAAACCCAAAGCTCTAAAGCCACTGTTCTAGGCATCTTCATCACCAAGACACCACTGCAGCACTCGGGCCGGGGTCCTCCAGCAGCTCCGGTCCTCCTGCGAAAGGTTCGAGGGTGAGGGTTTTGAGTTTATGTAGGGGGGCTTTTGGGGTTTTTGCTTTAAGTGTGCTGGCCCTCTTTCGTTTTTAGGACTGAGGGTGTTTAGAGCTTAGGGGGTTTAGGGCTTTTTTTAGGGTTTAGGGTTTAGGGTTTTAAGGTTTAGAGGGTTTAGGGGGTTAGGGTCCAGGGATTAGGGTGTAGAGTTTAGGGTCAAGGGTTTAGGGTTTAGGGGTTTAGGGTTTAAAATATTTGTAGCGTTGAAAATTTGCTTCGGGTTCAGAGTTTGGAGTTTAGGGATCATGGTTTAAGGCCTTACGTGTCGGCCGGACGGAACAGAAATGCGCTCAGCGTGTTCGCTGGGTCAATCGGCCCCGGGTGCCGCGGACCCAACTAAAAATAGTTGTTCAATGGCAAACTTTGAACGCCGGATTCCTTAAGACCCTATCATACCCTGAACCCTGAACTCCGGAACCCATAAAAACACCCAAAACTCGACATCACCAACAACAACTCCCAACCCTGCTCAACACACCTGCAGAACCTTGGAGGCGACAACAAGAAACAAGATTCCAGACAAGCCTAAGAAAAGGCCCCACTGCCGCAAGAATACACAAACGCTTCTAAGAAAACCCCAAACCCCTGATTACCATAATACAAGGGGGCCTTAAGTTAGACTATAGGTCTTTGGCGTACATTATACTTCTAAGTATCTACGATAAACAACCCAAGCGGCCTAAAGAATACCTGTCGACGTATTCAGGCCCCTTTGGGGGGGTTAGGGCTTACGGTTTAGGGCTATACTGATCCCTAAAGACCGCACTTAAGAATCTACGATCAGGAGCCCTGAGGATTACTTATCATCCTAAACCCTAAACCCTAAACTAAGCCCTAAACTCTAAACTCTGAACCCTCATACCCCCTAAACGCTAAACCTATACGGCCCCCCATACCTCCTTCTAAACCCCAAGAGAACCCGGCAAGGCCTCGATCTTGCCATCGCGTCGCCAGCACTTCACCCACCCGCTAGGTGCCATGGCTCTGGGGGAAGATTTAGAGTTTAGAGTTTAGGGTTTAGGTTTCAGGGTTTCGAGTTTAGGGTTTAGGGTTTGGTTTAAGGATTAGGGTTTAGAGTTTAGGGTTTAGAGTTTATGGTTTAGGGTTTAGAGTATACGGTTTAGGGTTTAGGGTGGTTTAGAGCACCGTGTTGGTCTCTATGATTAATCTACGCAATACTGGCATCACGTTTTTGAAGGGGTTGGGGTCTTTTGTGGCTTAGGGTTTTGGCCTGCTTGTAGGGCTTAAACTTTCAGGTCATCCTCAACCCTAAACCCGAGGATGCTTCCGGTTTGGAGGCTTTGGGCTTTGGGTGTGTCGGGGTTCGGGGTTGCGGGGCTTAGGGTTTAGGGTTTAGGGGTTTGGGTTTAGGGCTTCGAGGTTTAAGGGTTCAGGGTTTGGGGTTTAATCAGGGCTTATTATGTACAAACCAAGGTATGGAGTACTGCACGGGGGTTATGGGGCTTGGTTGGCTTGGTTTTCCGATGCATTTGGTGCTTGGGTTTACGGATTGCGGGGTTGCAGTTGATCTCGAGGAACCAGCTGAAAAAGCGGAGCGTTGGGGCTTAAGCTAAGCTTAAACCCTAAACAGAACAGGTTTGGGATGAAGGTAATGCAGGGGCCTCAATACTTGTCAATACTATTCTTGGGGGTTCCTTATTATTATACTTATAGTAAAATGGGCCCCAGAGCCCTATTCTAATTTTTCAAGTCCCTATGTCAGATTTCCCATGGCAATACAAAACACCTTCCCGACTGCTAGAGACAAACTCACTGAACCTTGCAAGGACCACCCCAGAAGTTACCACTTCTACTGCAAGCGTCGCGGAAGGTGGCAATCAACTGACGCCCTAAAAAACCAAAGCCTGAAACTTGAAACTACCAACCCTTCCTAAACCCTAAACCCTGAACGCTTCATGAGGCATGTCCTGGAAAGCTCGCGTCCTGGGGATGTCTGGCCGACAACCTCAGGCTCTGCGGATTCCAAGGCTTGTCTCAAGTATGGGTTTAGGGTTTAGGGTTCCCAGCCGGTCCCCCGGGCCAGTACTAGGGTTACTAGGGTTCCGGGGATTCAGTGTTTCTCACCATGGTTTTGGTTTCAGAGCTTTTGACCAATTCTGAGATGTAACTTTCCCATCCAGCGATCTTTGGTTCAAGGTTAGCCTGTTGAGTTCGTATCAGAACCATGCTTGCGATGAACAACAATTTAAAGCTTACCCATGCGAAGAGTTTTAGTTGAGGACTTCAGGGGGTTTGGGGTATAGGGATCATAGGGCTTAGGACTTCAGGGGGTTTAGGGTTTAAAGCTTAGGGTTTAGGACTTCAGGGGCGTTGAAGTTGGATTTTTTAAGCTCTGAGGAGTCGCGAGACGGAGATTAGAAGCGTCGAGTTTGAGAGCTCTGCATGTAAGAGGTTAGGGGTTACGTAGAGGGCCACAGAGGGACTTGGAGGGCGCCGGGCTTTGGGTTGAGAGCTGCGGAATTAAGGCTGAGGCGGGGATTCTGTCTGTAATGTCCGGATTCCTCTAGTCTACAGCCCGCCGCTACATGTTCGGTAGAGTATACAACAGACATCACCACCGAAAAGGAACGGTAATCGACCCTGCACCATCACGCCTAAGGCTAACGCACTGCATGGTGAGCTAAACCATGAAGCTCTAAACCTGATACACGCTCTAGCGAGGAAACTGACATTATGTCTGTATGTGGTCAGGGAGTCTTCATGTACTTAGTTGATGAGTTCATAAGCCTCAAAAAATTAACAAGGGGCTCATACCATCCCAAAACGTGTAAAGAAGTGCACCCACTCAGCTACTACGTAAGTGTATACTAACCCGCGACACAACCCCGGAAAAAATCCCTGAGGACTCAGGCCTGCACCCTGAACTGTGAACTGAAACCAATACGACCTGGTAAACGCCTGGTTTGAAGAATCCCCAAAACCCTAAGCCCCCGAAACCCGATACCGTAAACCCCAAACCCCAGAACTTAAACCCCAAAGCCGGAAACCCTACCTCTGCCCGCCCCACCTCCCCCTCCTGCCCCCAAACTGGGGCGCCCTCATAGGAGGCCATGGTGGTCGGCTGTGTTACGCGATGGGCACGCTCCCTGGCAGGCGGCGAATGGCCGGGGCAAGACCATGATTATTCAGGGTTACCCTAAAATCCTAAACCCTTGTGTAGGGGGGTTTAGGAGTTTAGGGCAGGGGCTTGTCGGCTTTCAGGGCTTCGGGGTTTTCATGGGGCAGTTGAGGCTTCGGGGCTTTAGGAATTTCAGGGCTCAGGCTTGTCAGAGTGCTGGGAATCCCTAAACCCAAACCCAATGCCCCTCTAAACCCCTAACTCCTGAATGCGACAGTTTAGGGCTTAGGGGCCTAGGGATTTAAAGGCTTAAGGTTTAGACATTTCAACTTCGATTAGGGCTCTAAGGCCTCGGGGATTGAAGTTTAGGGCATCTTTTCTCAATGGCTCAAGACTTTAGGGGTTGGCTTCGGGCTTTAGGGCCCTCGGGGTTTCAGGTTTAGGATTTTTTTCGCTTGCTTAAGGCTTTAAGGTTTAGGGCTAAAGGCTTACTTAAAGCTGGCTTAAGGAATTAGTAGGGTGTATCTAAAGCTGGCTTACAGTCTTCAAACGGTTTAAGATTTAGCGTTCAGCGTAACCCACAGACTCCAAAACTCTTTCATTTACATGCTTACGCAATCTTACTTGAACCATCGAGGATCCCGTATATCATCGATGAAGTATACTCCACTCCTCTGGACTTCCCGTGGACTATACTAGAAGATCGTGAACGCATAGGTGTCGACCACATGCGCGTCTGCCAACGGGGCACACCAGGTTCTGTAAGACTTGTGATCATGAGATTTCGCTTTGATCCATCTCAAGTGCTCGAGGTTGAAGTTGGCCCTGGGTGCCTCCAGATCCAGAAAGTAATCGTACGCAACCCTCTTGAACTTGAAGAGCTCGATGAGGTTGAGCTTGGATGCGGAGCCCTTGAGGTCTCTTGTGCCGTGTTGTGCCGATGCTGTCCTTGGACAGCGCCACCGGCCGCTACAGCAGACCGTCCTCGAGGCCTTCGACAATCCAGGCCCTCTCTTCATCCGTGTCACGTACACCGATAAGATTCACCCCTTTCTGCGAGGACCTTAGCATGAGATTCCCCAAGTCGCACAAGTCGGATTCAGGGCTTAGGGTTGTGGCATGGGGTTTTGGGCAGTTTAGGGTTTTGCACCTGGGGTTTACATTATGGCTCAGGAAATACGAAGAAGGCACTCCGGTACCTGACTTTTCAGGGACATCTCCCCTGTCCGTACAGGGTCAATGCCCAAACAAACAGCAAACTGCAAAATATGTAGGGGCTGAAAACAAGAATAGATGCATAGTATTTCATATGGTATGTCCCTTTATCTACCGGAGCCATCGGGAGAACCGCTGGGGGACCTGTGAAAGAAACCCGAAAACTTCTCGGAAGGAACCCGAAAACCGCAGGGCTTTCCTTTTTAAAGGAAGCCTAATTAAACCCCAAACCCTAAACCTTAAATCCTAAATCCTAAACCCTAAAACCTAAACCTTAAACCCTGAACCCTAAACCCTATAGGTTTCCCCCTAAAACCCCCTAAAGGTTTCGGAACAGTCCCATTGCGGGCCGGGGCGCGAGGTCAGGGCGACTGGGGCGCAGGTCGAGGCCACTCCGGAAACTGTAGCTGGGACGGCCTGGAAAGGGCTCAGGCTTTGGGGCTTTAGGGTTTCAGGGTTTAGGGTTTAGGGCCCCGTTTAGGCCAGTTTAGGGCTTAAAGTTAGTTTTGGAGATATGCTTTAATTTAAGAGCAGAAAGCAAAATTCTATGTTCGTATTCTGGTTATTCCCTTGAAAAAGGAGCAACGCCCTGTAAAACCTTCATCACAGAAGCCCCAAGTCATGGATACTCACAGGTATTATTCGCCTTCGTGACGCAAGGATATGGGGCTTCCGGGGAAAACACTATAGGGCTTAGAGGGGTTTCGGCATCCACGCGGCGTCTCCTTTCTTGAGCACAACGATCTTGGAGCAAAACTCCAGTCTGCTCTTTGTGCTCACGATCGCCTTGGAAAAGTCGACCTCTCCCTTCGGACCCTGGGGCTCACGCTTACCAGGCTTAGGGTTTAGGGTTTAGGGTTTAGGGTTTAGGGTTTAGGGTTTAGGGTTTAGGGTTTAGGGTTTCCATCTGCATGTGTTGGGCAAAGAAGGCCTTACCGAAGCCATCGGTCCTGAACCCGCCATGAGGATGAAGTGCGAAGCAAAGACATGCTCTCCGTCACCCTCCCCGATGATGTCGAACGCGTCCGACACTCCAATAAGCAGAAGGCAGACAGAAGCCCTCCTGAAATCTATAAAGCCCCACGAACAGACCCGATTGAGTTTATGGTTTAGGGCTTAACCCGGCTTAACGTTTATAGGGTTTACGATCTTGGAAAATTGTGCAACAGCGTAACGGCCTCGATAATGATTGGCATTCTTAGGTTTGGGAGACAGGCGAAATTTGTATAAAATGACAGTTGGGGAAAGAACGCCTTGAAAGCAAACCTACCCTAAGTCCGAAACCGCTGAAGGAGGAACCTATCCTAAACCCGAAACCGCTTGAGAATGAAACTACCCTACCTAACCCTAAATAAACCCTCAGCCCTAAACCCGACCCAAAACCCTAGATCCTAAACCCTATAATAGCCCTAAACTCTAGACCCTAAACCCTAAACCCTAAACTCTAAACTCCAGACCCTAAAATGAGCCCTAAACACTAAGCCCTAAGCCCTAAACCCTAGACCGTAAACCCTGAACCTAAATTTTGGCGTCGGGGTCGAGGAGGCCGAAAAGCCTAACTCCTTGGATCGCTGGACCACCAATCCTAAAATGTCCTAAAACCCTCAATACCTCCATGGGTTGCACGGCTCAAGGCTTGGGGTTTAGGG